TCTTTAGTACAATGTTTATTAACTTATACCTGCTTTCCTCTCCAATACTGCACCTCACTGATGGCTTATAGATGACTCATTCATCCTGAAATAGAGCTCAACATGTATTTATTGAATAAATGAGTGTTTATTGGTTGCAAACTGTGCCATTCATGTATTTAGCGGGGGACAAACAACTCAGTGAAAATCATTCTTCAAGGAAATGGATGGGGGGAGGTATATATATGTATGTATTTGTGTATGTCAGCCAGTCTTCCTTTCCATTTCTAAAACCTTCTTGGCCTATTGTAAATTAATTCACTGTTGTATCTACAGGCATACCTCATTTTATTGCACTTTGCTTTATTGCGCTTTGGACAAACTATGTTTTTTTTTACAAATTGAAGGTGTGTAGCAAGTATTTTTTAGTAATAATTATTTTTAAATGCAGGTATGTACCTAGCCTTTTTATACTGAATTTCATTGTAAATTTAATAGACCATCAATAGAATATTAATAGATTATAGTGTAAACATAACTTTTATATGTACTGGGAAACCAAAAAATTCGTGTGATTCATTTTAATGTAATACTCGCTTTATTGCGGTGGTCTGGAACCAAACCTGCAATATCTCTAAGGTATGCCTGTATTTAAATTAACATATCATTGAAACTCCTTTAATGAGAATAGGGAGAGGATTCTAGTTTTATGTAGTTTGTTTGTTACTAAATTTGTTTAAATGATGTTTGACATATCTTACAAGTATGTTGTGCTGTCATAGTAGCAGAAAATAATGTTATGGCATTATTTTCTTTTTTTCTCCTACTGTTGTTTGACTTTATGGTCCAGCTTTTTTTTTTTTTTTTTTTTTTTTTAACTACTTTGAGTTAATGAGCACATCTTAGTCGTGTGGAAGGTGCAGAGATATACCCACAAAGTCCCTGCCATGAAGAGCTTGCAGCTGGATAGGGAAGCAGCTGTGTGCTCGAATTTCAGGGCAAAGGGCATTTCTTTCTGTTAATGCTCTCCTAAGCAATGAGGCAGAGCTGCACGGTTTTTAGTGTTCAAAGGAAACTTAGCCACCATCCCTAGCACTGGGAAACTGTCTGGGCAGAGGGGAGAGGGTACAGGACCATTGAGTTCTGGGTGGGAACAAAGGAGAATAGTTGTATAATTGACTATGGTGGGAAGCTCATTTTAATAGTAGACTGGGAATAGTAGAAGTCATTGATAGGGTTGGCTTGTGAGAAGAAGGTCAGCCTGAGTTCTGCATGAGTGAAAGGGAACATGGGAGGGAAAAGGTTTCAGAAATGGGAGGGTGAAAAGTGGTTCACCTTAAATGTGCCCACAGGGAAAGGTGGTGAGACAAGTATATGCCCTTTATATATACTTGGACTGTTCATACTGTTTACGTGAAAGTAAAGGAGGTTAGAAAAGGAGAAAAGTTCTAGTCAGGCTCTGAGTTTGGCCTGGCTGTGAATAATACTTTCTGTAATTCTCAATCTGGTTACTGATTTACAAAGTTGACTGGATATGTGATTATTTTCCAGGTTGTACTAGAATACTGATGCAGGGAATACAGAGGCAAATGTTGACAAAAAATTAGAGTGGATTTAAAAGAAATTATAGACTGGGCAAATCATATTTCAGTATAAATGAGATTATATGTTCGGAAATTCCTAGTAAACTCTGAAGGGGTAAGTCAGTGTATTTAAGTCTCTGTGTGTATGTGTTTGTGTACTTCCTCATAATCATTGAAAATCTTCCAGATCCTCTTCTAGCTCAGGCGCTGCTCATGTCTTTTGGGTAGTAATTCAGCTTCTGCAGCTTCAAGGACAAATCACAATAACAAGATATGCTTCAGTCTTGCTGTTTAGATATTAAGAAATCATTATGAGGAGTCATTAAGGTAATAAGTAATTCATAAATTTCTCACACCTATTATAATGTGTCATACCATATCATCATGTTCATGGTTTAGCAATATATGCTGTTGATAAAGTGAAATAAGTGAATTTAATTATAGAACTTAAAATGTAATATTTAAGACATTTAGAAAGCACAGGAAACCCGTGAACCTACCACTCACATCAAATAGCTGTTAACATTTTACCTTGTCGTCTGTTCTTTTTTCGCTTTTGAAGCAGTAGAACAGCACATGCAGCCAAGGCACTCATGCCCCTCTTCATCTCTCTGTAGGGAGGACTACTGTTCAGAATTAAGTTTGTGTCAGTGCCATGTATTCAAAGAAATTTTTTACCATAGTATCTGTCTGCAAACATGTATTTTAATTTTTAATGTTCTGCTGACTAAAATTAAGAAATATTTCAAAAATTACTATAGTTCTTCGTATTATTCTCCACATGGAAAAATGTAATAATTTCATAATCTTTAACTTTTAGTTAGCATGATATTAGAAACATAGAAAATATATTTTTGGCATAGCATTCTGACCTAGTAACATAAATTGAAGTGGGTTTTAAACTTTTGTAATCTATAGAATGATATGTGTTTTACATTTTGACCTAGTACCTATCATGTCTGTATGTGTATATTTCTGTGGGGTGTGTGTGTGTGTGTGTGTGTGTGTGTACATATGTATGTATAAATACTGGAAAAGTTTCCCTAAACTAGCTTTCTGTACTGTGTGTGAGTTGCACTAGTCCCTTGGTATTGGTGGGGTGGGGTGGGGGTTGGTTCCAGTACCTCACATGAATACTAAAATCTATGGATGCTTCAGTCCCTGATAAAAAATGGTGTAGTATTTGCATGTAATTCATGCACATCCTGCTGTACAGTTTACATTGTCTCTAGATTACTTATTATATCTAATGCAGTGTAAATGCTATTGTAAATAGTTGTTACTCTGTTTTCTTTAGGGAACAATGATAAAAAAAAAAAGTCGACATATTCAGTGTAGCTACATTTTTTTTTTTTTCCTGAATATTTTTGATCTGTAGTTGATTGAATCTATGAATCCAGAACTCAGGGCTATGAGGGTCAACTGTCCTCTGTTTTCTCTAGACTATTTACTTTTAAAATGCTTTGCTCATGTTTGGTAAATTGATTATTTGACCTAATAGGTTGCCACCCATAATTTGAAAGTCATTAAGATTAATCTTAAAATTTGATCTAATCATAATTAATCTAAAATTAAGACTGACTTTAATATATAAGCCCACGCGTTTCCAGTATAATAAAGATGTTGTAAATGATAGGTAAATGTATTAAAATAACATTCTTTATATGTATAAAGATTTGATTATATTTATTTTAGCTAAGTCATTCTGATTGGTTTTTATAAATTAAGTCCATGTATGTCTTACCCATTTAAAAATTAGATATTAATTGAAGTGTTTGAGAGAGCATGTGTTGGTTAATACAGAATATTTTCTTTTTGTTCATTTTGACCATGGTTTACCTGGAGGTAAGGAGGGCCGTCATTGTGTCAGGGAAGGGGAAAGAGCTCTTGCTGTCTTAGACATTGACCCCCAAGCCCTGTCACCAGTGAACTCTATATAGCCTTAGAAAATCCTTCCTTTTTTCTGGCTTTCAGTTTCCTCACTTATTAAATGAGGGTATTATCTAGCTTATCTTGAAAGTACTTTTATTTTGTGAGATAAAAGGTAACTGGGACCTGGGCCTCAAGATATTAGAATTTGTTGAGAATATAGCTGATGAAAAAGAACAGTGCTTTCTGTTGGAATTACTGATTTTGCTGTTATGTTTGAGCAAGGGTTAAGCAGGTTGTATTCAGTTTAATGTAGTTCTTGGGCAAGAATTATTCATTCCTTCATTATAAAACCATTTCAGAATAAACTTGACATCCCCAAGATCTCCCTACCTTTTTATGGTATAATCCCTCAGTAGTGAAGGACACAAGTATGTTGAGTGTATATGTGAGCATACATAAGTACAAGAAGAATGACAAAGGAATGTTCTTCATTCTGTTTCAGTTAAGTGTCCTCATAGGCAAATCCAAAGCTGCAGAGAGAAATCTAACTTTTCCTAAGCCCTAGGGAATTTTTCTTGAGTCCTACTCAATTGCAGTACTCTGAGGCTTTGGGGAATTTTTTTTTTTTTTTTAAACCTGAATTACATGGTTGGAATAGAGTGGGAACATATCACCTAAACTATACATCCTTAAAACAGAACTTTTCATGATGCATCCTGCATGTTTTGTCTGTTTGCATGTTTAAGAAGAAGGAGTTTAAATAGCAGTTTGGGGTAAACATAGACCTTCGGGACTATTTGTTCCCATTTTGCTTCTAAGAAAACAGGTCAGAAATAACTCTTGCCTGGATCTTCGAGTTGAGGCAGAGTTGAGGCAGATTCCTGGTTTCTTTCAGGGTTCCCGTTTTCTTTTGGTTTGTAGATTATTTTGGGACAGCTTAAGGTTTAGAGGGACTTAGAGACCTCCTTCTAACTCAGGTACCTGGGGACTGACCCGCCAAAGAATGTTTAAGAAATTAAGAATTTTTTAAGTAGAAATCTGCCCCTACCTAAGGGACTAGTGAAAGTATATTTTTCCTTAAAAGACACCAGGGTAGAAATAAAGTGCTGAGAGATAATCTTCTGAACCACAGAGAAGCATAGGTTAGATTTTTTTTAACACCTCTGACTATGCAATACCTCAGTTCTCTCTCACTAGCAATATGCAAAGCATGACTGATACTTCTGTTATTTCAGCAGTACTTACTCTCCTTATATAGAAGTGGATTGGAATTTCTAGAGCTCTGGAATCTGATTCAGTAAATGTTCTCACCTCAGGCCGGGGGCCAAGGCTAAACAGTTTTTTGTGACACCCTGTGCTTGGCACTAAGCAGGCACTATGGATTTTTGTGACTAAAGACTGCAGACTTAACTAGTCACTATTTCATGTATTGGGAATTATAAAGTTTGTCATCCTGAAGTATTAGAATTGATTTTTTTTAAGTAAAAAAAAAAAATAGTTTCCTGTGTGTGTTAAAGTATTATTAATGAGCCTTCCTGCCTGTTTTCCCTCCTTCCTCTTCTGTAGTATGCCGAGATTTTGCTGTCCTGGAGGACCACACCCTGGCTCACAGCCTGCAGGAACAAGAGAGTGAGTAATACCTCTCATTTATGCTCCTTCAGTTTTCTTTTCTTTTTTGTTTTTAACTGGAAGCTTGAGGCTGATTTCTCAGGGATTAGGTAGGGAGAGAGCACAGTCACTTGTCAATGCCCTCCATGAATCATGAAGGATTTCTTCAGGCAAATGATGCCTGGGTGATCAGTGAATATTTGCGTATGTTTAAGTAAGATAGACTGCCAGAAATTAGTAGACTGCTGCATCTTCAAGAGAGAAAGAGGGCTTTGAACCTTTTTCCTTGCCTTGTGTTGTAGGAGGGACACAGAGGTTACAGATTTAACTGAAGTGCATAGAATAAATCTGTTCTTGCTCCTAGGATGGGGACCTGAACAGCTTTCTCAGGCAACCATAGTATAAATGAGATCACATTGTGGATATTTCTGAATCTTTTTTTCAGTGTAGTGATGGAAAGTAAGTCTAAGCTATGCATGTTATATTAAAGTACATATTTGTGAATAATAATATTTGTGAGTTATTAATTCACTTCAATATAAAAATTAAAATATTGAAAAATGCAGTTAATAAATAGAGTGACAATATGTAGTAGTAGAAGGAGCGCTAGCCCTGGCTCTAGAATACTTGTGTAGACATCCTGGCACTGCCACTTTGTTGCCATGTGACCAAAGACAAATTATTTCATCTTTTCGATCCTCTTTTTGCCTAACGGAAAAGTGGGGTGGTAATTCTTTTGCTCTCTATTATACATTGTTGTTGAGACAATAAAATGCAGTGATGGTGGCAAAGCTACTGTGTTACAGTAAAGCTCTTAAGATTATTATGACATTTATTACTAAGAAACCAAGGCATTGTGATTCCTGTCCTCAATCTTTTTGTTCCAGTTGAGCATCATTTGGCATCAAACGTTCAGCGGAACCGTTTGGTCCAGCATGACCTCCAGGTGGCTAAGCAGCTCCAAGAGGAAGATCTGAAAGCCCAGGCTCAGCTCCAGAAGCACTACAAAGACCTGTAAGGATATGGGAGGGGGAGGGGTAATGTTAAGAATGGTTTTCTCTGTGGAGCTAGCAACCAGGGCAGGGGAGAAGGAGACTACTTCTGTACCTCTGATTCTTTTTTCTATTAGATTGCAAGTCTTGCAGTGGATATCCAACATTTTTTTGATTTGAAGATTTTTCTTTGTTGTTGGAACACTTGTCCAGGTTTAAAGACATGTGGATGATGGTGTGAGTTCTAACATTTTTAGCTGTATGACTTTAGGCCAATTAGTCAACTTCTCCGAGTTTATTTTCCTTACCCGTAACATGGGGAAAATGACCTCTGTCCCCTCTGCCTCATAGTTTCTTAAGGGGATCCAGTGAGATAGTGGACATCAAAAAGCTTTATGGGTTGTGTTGGTTCCTTTACTATGTTCTAGCTGCGTTTCCTGCTCTTAGTTTTCCTGCTTTTCAGTACATAGCCGAATGTTCTGAGATGCTCTGAAGTGTATACTCAGTTGTCTTCATAACTTCAGTGTCTGACAAAAGTTCTCTCTCATTAGCCTCCTTTAACTGACAGATAAATGGAAATTATTATTTCTCAGCCTTCTTTTGACACAGTGACTTTTATTCTGTTTCAGTGTTATAAAGCTCCTAGGATACATTTCTTTTTTGATTGAGAGTGGCTCTTACATCCTAAATCTTTAAGGATAGATTTAACCACAGATACTGTGTTGAGGGGGAAGGGGTAAAGGAAAAATGGAATGAACCCCTTAATTTACTTTAGTGTCATATTCAGGTGAAAAAGGAAAGCCAGTCATTTTTGCTAACTTACAGGAAGGGGTTTCTGTTTCTTATTTGTAGAGAGGACTTTATTAATCATTTCGTTAAGCTTCCTTATTTTGTAAATAAACACTTTTATTGACTCATGCTAAATTTGACACCGTGAAAGGAGACTAGAGATATGAATAGGACAACTTTTAAGGGCCTCAGGAAAACACCTTGAGCATTGTATATCTGGAGATACATGCATGAGTCACAGAGAATTGAAATGTAAGTTTCATGCCTGTTTAGAGAGAAGAGACTGGGAAAAGCTTCAGGAGACAGATGATATGTTTAATCTGAAACTTGAAGGTTAATTGGAAGTTTATAGTGATTTGGGGAAAATCCATTGTAGCCAGAAGGAGCAGCATGCCTAAGGGCAGGAGGTAAAAGGACTTGGAAACTCATGTTAGCTGCAAGAAGTTCAGTTTTGCTGGAGTAGAGAGTATAATTGGGGCAGAAGTAGGAGGTGAGGCCAGAAAAGTAGTCAAAAGCTGGACCAAAAGGGTCATGATAAGTTATGTTAAAGAATTCAAGTTATGTATACTTTATATTATAGGGAATAGAGAACCATTAGAGTAGTTTTAGATTTTCATTTTGGGATCTCTTTTGGGGAATAGGTGGGTAAAGGCTTAGAGGGGGCAAGATTTGAAGGCAGCTGTTGAACAGTGGTCAGATTAAGAGATGATGAGGCTTGAATGAGGACGTTGGGGTGATAGAGATAGAGGAAGGAGATGATGAGTCCTAAATTGAAGGTAATGATAATGGAGATAAAAAGAGGAAGAGAGATACTTGAGATGTTATGAGACTCAGTGTCACAGGTTAAGGTGAGAGCCAAAGCTAGAATGTTCTAGAGTTCTAAATTCATTGCCCTTTACATTTATTAGAATTATTCACAGTTGTTAGAAAGGCCAGTTCTGAGGCTGATGCAGATACTTAAAATCCTGAAATAGGTTAATAACAGTATAATGAGCTTATTCAGAAATTATCAAGATAAACCACTCAAATGTAAATCAGGAATAGAGAGTGATATTTTGTAGGTCCTAAATGAGAGAAAAAGCAGGTATTATATTTCTGCCTGAGACTTCAAGGGTTTAGAATTGTTCCTAGATTAAATAAGTAAGCTAAAAGGGAAGTCTTTCAGTTCACTCCCTGACAGTTTTGATAGCAGACATCTTGGGAAGGATGAAATGCTGCAGTTTTTATTGAATTGGAACCTTTTATTTAGTCCAGATACCGGGACTGCTATCCCAAGTCAGGATTTTCGCCTGTTTACTACTGATTTCTCAGTTTCGTTTTCCCAGTAGTCTGTATAATTAGCTGACCGAACCAGAGCTGGAACTTCTTGGAAATATGTACTGAAATTATTAAGCTCAGATGAAACTTCTTTATTTTCTGTACCAGGAGATAAATATTCTGTGTCACTTGTGACTTCTAACACTTCATTTAGGTTTGCCTTCTCTGTGGTGCTTCTACTTTCTTCCCACTTATTACATCGAGTGTAGTTATCAGTCACTTAACTCTATACAGATTTTACATTAATTTGGGAGGTTCAGCTAGAGTCTTGAATGAAGACAGAAATATAGAGAGGCCTTTGAAAACTTTTTGTGTATGATTTTTATTATAATGAGTGAATGAAAAGAAAATATATGATAATTAGTCTGAGTAGATTTATGTTTATTTTTATTTCTTCGGTTTGAATAGGTAAGAATACTATGATATTAGACCTATAATGTGAAGTCACTAAGTGTAAACTTTTTTTTTTTTTGGTGTGTGTTTTATTTATTTATTTTTATTGCATTTTAGGTTTTGGGGAGGGCTAAGGATATGAACAGACACTTTACAAAAGAAGACATACAGGAGGCCAACAAACATATGAAAAAATGCTCGTCATCACTGGTTATTAGAGAAATGCAAATCAAAACCACATTGAGATACCATCTCACACCAGTTAGAATGGCGATCATTAAAAAATCTGGAGACAACAGATGCTGGAGAGGGTGTGGAGAAATAGGAACACTTTTACACTGTTGGTGGGAGTGTAAATTAGTTCAACCATCGTGGAAGACAGTGTGGCGATTCCTCAAGGACCTAAAAATAGAAATCCCATTTGACCCAGCAATCCCATTACTGGGTATATATCCAAAGGATTATAAATCATTCTACTATAAGGACACATGCACACGAATGTTCATTGCAGCACTGTTTAAAATAGCAAAGACCTGGAACCAACCCAAATGCCCATCGATGATAGACTGGATAGGGAAAATGTGGTACATATACACCATGGAATATTACGCAGCCATCAAAAACGATGAGTTCATGTCCTTTGTAGGGACATGGATGAACCTGGAAACCATCATTCTCAGCAAACTGACACAAGAGCAGAAAATTAAACTTTTTTATAACTTATAAAATGGCATGACAGAGAATGATTTGTGGTTATTAGTGGTAGAGGTAGGACCAGAAAACAGGCCTCAGTGGGGTGAAGTGATATATGGTGGTATAGAAGAAGTGTGGAGCTTTCTGTTGTTGAGTGTGATGATCGGATTCCAGCTCTACCACATATTTTCATTGTGATCTTGGGAACATGATTTAACTTCCATGGGTCTTAGTTTTCTCATCAGTAAATGTGACAGTGTCAGCGTCTTTGCATCTTTATCTTGAAGATAAAGTGAGAAAAATACGTACTTCTCATAGATTGAGTATTCAATAAATTGTATTTATAATTTTTAGGAAATACATTATTTTTTATTTTCCTTATTCATGTTTTCACCTTTGCTTTTTAGTGAACAACAAGACTGTGAAATTGCTCAGGAAATTCAGGAGAAGCTGGCTATAGAGGCAGAGAGACGACGCATTCAGGAGAAGAAGGATGAGGTATAACTTAGTTACTGCCCCTCTCCCTTATGGAGAAAGAGGTGCTCAGCTTTAGAGCAAAAACTTCTTGCAGTCACGGGCTCAATGAAGGATTGCTGAATGGGAAGCAGAATGCCTCTTACTTGGGCTGCATTTTCCTCTGTGGACCATGATTTATACCCTCTTGATTATGTAAGTGGTAAAAGTCTTGAGAGATGATAATGGATAATTTCACATAGGATGTGAATTAGTTTCCTATGACTGTTGTAACAAGTTACTCCTGCAAACTTGGCTTAACATAAATTTATTGTCCTAAGAGTTGTGGAGGCCGGAAGTCTAAAATCTGAAGTGTTGGCAAAGTTATGCTACCTCTTGGGAAGGATCCTTCCTTGCCTCTTCCTGGCTCCTGACTCTTGGCAGTCTTTGGCATTCCGTGGCTTGTATCTGCATCACTTTAGTCTCTGCATCCATTGTCACATGGCCTTCTTCCCTGTCTGTATCTTTGTATCTTCTTCCTACAAGGACATCAGTTATTGGATTGAGGACCCGCACTAATCCAATATGACCTCAGCTTAACTAATTACATCTGCAAAGGCTCTGTTTCCAAATAAGGTCACATTTTGAGGTTTGGGTAGAAATGAATTTGGAGAGGGAGCACTATTCAACTTACTACAAGGTGTCTGTCTCTGGGTTGCTGGTTGTTCTTGCAACATTAGAGAGGGCAGACTTCGAGTGGAACCTGAGCAGGAGGCAGGGAGTAGCCGTTGGGAGAGGCCAGGAGCAGGAATTGCTCTCAGTCTTTTTCTTAAAGGTTTCACTTTCCTATGATCTGTTGATTTAAAAAATGAATCATTTTGATTCTGTGTATATTTTTAAGTTGTATTGTTAAGGCTGAAAATAACTGAAATTAGCAACAGTGTTTGGTTTGTGAGAAGACATGAATTTACCATTAGCTGTTATTTCCTTTTGTATGTTATATTTTCAGCACTTTCTTTTCTTTTTGAAACAGGGTTTTGCTCCATTACCCAGGGTGGAGTGCAGTGGTGTAAACATACATCAGTCTCTGCCACCCAGGCTTAAGTGATCCTCTCAGCCTCTTGAGTAGCTGGGACTACAGGCACATGCCCCCACACTTGGCTAATATTTTTAAATTATTTTTTTTGTGGAGACAGGGTCTCACTATATTGCCCAGACTGGTTTCAAACTCCTGAACTGAAGCTATCCTCCTGCCTCAGCCTCCCAAAGCACTGGAATTACTGGCATGAGCCATTATGCCTGGCTTAGTTTCATCACTTCGTATGAACAATTTACTTCATTTTACATCATTTCTGTACTACCTGCTTTCACACCTATTATGCTGTCCTTGGTCACTGTCTTGATTTATAATAGGAAATTGATTTATCATTTTTCATAGTTTGATGACAGTATGGTAGGCACCCAGAAACACTTTTGAGGGTTATAAGAATGCTGTTAATAATTACATAAACCGAGAGAGATCCAAGATGGCTGATCACTAGCAGCTCGGGATTGTAGCTCCCAGTGAAAACGCAAAGAACGAGAGGACGCCACACCTTCACATGAATTCTTGTTGCTCACGCACCAGGAGTTCCCAGCGGAGGAGCCCCACGGGTCGCCAGCGCGACTCTTGTGACCGGCGAGGCGGTTTTGCCGGCGCCTCGGAGCGTCGGTTCTTGGTGCAGAGTCAGAAAAGCACCATCAATCTTAACGCCGCTGACTTGGTCGGTGCAGTGGGTTGCTCAGATTTCGGCGCTGAGAATCAATAAGTTGGACGTCCACTCAGAAACCCAATTACAAAGACGGTAATTATAAAGACCACAGATGGATAAATCTACAACGAAGGGAAGAATACAGTCAAAAAAGACTGAGAATACCCAAGATCAAAACGCCTCTTCCTCAGCAGGGGATCCCAGTTCCTCATCAGCAACGAAACAAGGCTGGATGGAGAACGAGTGTGTTACAATTACAGAAGCAGGCTTCAAAACGTGGATAATAAGAAACTTCTGTGAATTAAAAGAACTTGTTCTAACACAATCTAAAGAAAGCAAGAACTTTGAAAAAAGGTTTAACGAAATGTCAACAAGAATACAAAATTTAGAGAGGAAAATAAGTGAATTGATGGAGCTGAAAAACACAATACGAGAACTACGTGAAGTATGCACAAGTTTTAACAGCCGAATTGATCAAGCAGAAGAAAGGATATCAGAGGTCGAAGACCAACTCAGTGAAATAAAACTAGAAGACAAGATTAGAGAAAAAAGGATAAAAAGGAACGAGCAAGGTCTCCAAGAAATATGGGGCTATGTGAAAAGACCTAATCTACGCTTGATAGGTGTACCTGAATGTGACGAAGAGAATGAATCCAAGCTGGAAAATACGCTTCAGGATATTATTCAGGAAAATTTTCCCAACTTAGTAAGGCAGGATAATATTCAACTCCAGGTAATACAGAGAACACCACAAAGATATTCCTCAAGAAGAGCAACTCCAAGGCACATAATTGTCAGATTCACCAGGGTTGAAATGAAGGAGAAAATACTAAGGGCAGCCAGAGAGAAAGGTCAGGTTACCCACAAAGGGAAGCCTATCAGACTTACAGCAGATCTCTCAGCAGAAACCCTACAAGCCAGAAGAGAGTGGGGACCAATATTCAACATCCTTAAAGAAAAGAACTTTCAACCAAGAATTTCACATCCAGCCAAACTAAGCTTCATAAGTGAAGGAAAAATAAAGTTTTTTGTGAACAAGCAAGCACTCAGAGAATTCATCATCACCAGGCCTGCTTTACAAGAGCTTCTGAAAGAACCACTACACATAGAAAGGAACAAACAGTATCAGCCTTTCTAAAAAATACCAAAAAGTAATATATCATTATTAATTCTAAATTTAAATTGACTAAATTCCCCAATTCAAAGACAGACAGGCAATTTCGACAAAAAACTAAAACTGTATGCTGCATCCAGACCCATCTCACATTCAAGGATACACAAAGACTCAAAACAAGGGATGGAGAGAGACTTACCAACCAACCAGAGAGCAAAAATAAATAAATAAAAAGCAGAAGTTGCAATTTTTGCCCCTGATAAAATAGTATTTAAAGTAACAAAGATCAAAAGAAGCAAAGAAGGACATTATATAATGATAAAAGAATCAATGCAACAACAACAAGAGTTAAAGGTCCTAAATATATACGCACCCAACACAGGAATACCCAGACATACAAGACTTATAAAGAGACTTCGACTCCCCCACAATAATAGTGGGAGACTTCAACATTAATATTAGACAGATCAATGAGACAGAAAATTAACAACGATGTCCAGGACTTGAACTCAGATCTGGAACAAGTGGACATAATTAACATTTATAGAGCTCTCCACTTCACACAAAATGTACACTCTTATCAGTACCACATCATATCAACTTAGAAGTTTAAACGAAATGTTATTTGGCTCCTTGTTTGTTACTCTCTTCCCTCATTTTCTTTCATGTCTCCATTATTAAGGACAATTATAGGCATACCCATATTTAGACTGCATTCTAGCCCGGGCAACAAAGCAATACCCCCATTCTCTCTCCCTCTTCCTCTTTCTCTTTCTTCCTCTTCTTTATTCTTTTTCTCTTTCCAAAAAAAAAAAAAAAAAAAAAAAAGACACAAAGATCTAGCTACTCCCCATATAGGACTTTATAAAGAACACCACCATAGTTAAATATTCAATGAGGTAACAGATTTGTGAAGGGTATTTTTTTCTATTCATTTTAAGCCATATATTATCCCATGAACATGAAAAGATAACAGTAATAATTAGAATGCATTAAAGTCATTGCTGATTACATAATCTTGGAATTTTATTACCTATGGCTAATGAAGATTAGAAAGCTTTAGGCTAAGTGAATTATCGTACATTGAGAGCAATTACATTGCATAGCATAATCAATGAACTTTGGAGACAAGGTTCAAATTCTGGCTCTCCAGATTCCTAGCTATTTGACCATAGGCAAAATGTTTAACTATCTAAGCCTGAGTTTATCTATAAGATGACCAGTGTAATGACACTGGTTAGTTTCAGACTCAGCCTAAACTAAGTATTTCCACTCTCTCCCAAACATCTTCCTTTTTCCAGTTACTGATGTAATTGTTTCCCCAACCAGTGAGTAAGCGCCTCTAAAGTCAGAAAAAAAAAAAAAATTACATAAACCAAAACTGTACTGGGTAAACTGGTGCTTACAATCATCCTGCTAAATAGATGTGATCAGGGTCATCAGTAAACAGCCTACATACACTGCTATTCCTGCTGAGCCACTCTTGTTCTTATAAGACTTCTTGTGCAATGCCAGATGAATGCGAGACACCTGGTACGAGGGTATTGAGTAGTTTCTTCAGGAAACAAATCATGATCATGTGGTAATCCGAACTGCAAATAAAAATTAGGGATTATTTTTGATACTTCCTGTAATACACAGGAGGCTCTTTCTTAGTATTTAATGTGTTGCCTTTTTATACTAAAGACTTTGCTTTGGGGATGACTCTAGGAACTAAAAGAAGTGATTATACTTTGGAGACAGGAAAGCTTCTATTTAAAAGATACCAGAATAGTGAAGTTGGCTTCTTATCAATGCTGCTGCTGTCCTGTGGTCTTTTTTGTTTTTATTTAGGGAAAAACAGGATGGAAAGAGAAAATAAAACACTTTATTTGTAGAATCTAAATAGTAATCACAGTAAGTAATCTCATGGTAATACTATATAAACAGTTTAGTGATTAACTCCATTTTTCAGATGTAGAAATTAAGTATTAAAGAAGTAACTGATTCCAAGTTATAATAAAATGCTAGAGAAATGTCTGTACAATTCAGGTCTCTGGACTGCTTCTGACTTTGATGTGCGGTGGCATGCACGAAACATGTGGACTTTGGAGTTCCACTGACCTGGGTTTGAATTTTAGCTCATTAACTACTTTGCTGTGTGATTTTCAGCATCTCACTTAACCATGCAGAACCTCAGG